TAATCATTATTATTATTATTATATCAAATGGCAGGCGTTTTGATTGTTATCATTAGCCCTTTAGTTGACTTCAGTCTTCACAGAGGGGAAGGAACATCAAAGTGTAAAAAATTCAAGAGGGGGGAGGAACAGAAGAGTGAATCAAAGACGAAGGTAGATAAGGTGGAAAAAAGGTGGGATGAGTACTGTGAAAGTAGTCGAATATGACATACAGTGGGGTCATGGAAGTTTGAAGTCAACTGTCAGGTAATAGACTTTTTTGCGTACTAGTATACGTTGCCCAGGGTGCACCACGTGGAGGTAAGTCTATCACACACCCCTGGACTATAATCATTGATTGAAACCTAATCACTAATAACCCCCCATCTATGCCATTCAACGTGCAAAACAAATTTAGAAATAAAGTCTGAACAAGAATAAGCAAGAAAGCTCAGGTGTGGTTAGGCAAAAGTAGAGGTGAGAGGGAATTCTCCCTGTGTTTAATAAAGCAGAAAATTAATTCACCATGTACTAAGTGAGTATTTGGTTGTATACTTTTGGAAATAGCAAATATCAATGTCAATCTTCATGGAAATCCGAAAACACATGTGCAAACAAAAGGACCTATGTTAGGCAAAACCACAAATCACTGCTTCAGGCGAGAGATGCTTGTGGTTGTTAAACTTCTGTGTGGGACATCAACACGGCCCATACTCATGCTGTATGCCTATTCAATGGCAATTTATTAGGCACTTTTTTGGCCTGCATTCTCTGCGAAATTCATTAATGTTTGGCAGTTGTTGTTCCATGCAAAAGGCTTTTACCTCCATCCACCTCTTGTCATTCCTTCGTGGCACAGTTTATTGGGAAGTGTATTTTGTCTTGCGTTGAAAAAAATGAGAAAGAAAATTGGGTAACGTTGGAGATTCTAACCAGCTTTTACTGGGAGATGATGGAAAAGATAGTATTCCGTAGGCTTGCCATTTCCGATTTGGGCTACTAAATGCCGTGGTATATTTAGGTATTTTGGGCACAAAAAAATGATTATTGCTCCCCAGAGAAATACTTTTAACTTTATATACTATACGTATGAAAGATTAATTTTGTAAAAGCCCTGAATTCTATCTTTCATTTTGGATATTAAAATTTTGTTATATAGGTGATTAAGACCTATTCATGGTATTTTTGAAATGAGAAATAAATTTATACTGTTGAAATTTTGAGTTTGATTGATTTTCTCAATTTTGTACTTTGAAATTTGTCAAATACCACAAAGCCTACTACTGGTCTAAAATTTAAGAATATCTTATCAAGTATACTTAAGTGGCCTGTATATTTCAACGCTTATAGAAGACGTTGTGCTATATACCCCATCTTAGTGAAACATTAATCCATTTTTAATTCCATTATTTTTTATTCCCATGAATATTTTGAATTTCTTTTTCCATTTTACTGAGAGACTATTCAATTTCGGAAATCTGCGTTATTCGTTCTCAAATTCATTAATTTTTGATGAAAAAAGGGCATAGTGAACGGATATTTGCCAGTGCTATTAAGTCCATTAAGGCAGTAAAAGAAGTGAAAATGTTAAGTACTGCCTGATTAGTAGTACCTCTCGTGTTTATTAGAATCAAGAAGTGTGATTGGCCTTTCACTTCACTTAATACATGCAATTTCCATCTATCTCATACACTCTGACGTAATAGATGAAATCGGTGTCATTTGGGTATAAATTTGCATCTTTATTGGCGGTAAAACATTGCCATAGAAACAGATTGGCGTAATATTTAAATTTTAGGAATACCTGTCTTCATTCCTCTAGAAGTAAGATCCACTTTTGAAAGAATATGCCATGAAATAGTTCCAACGCCCTTAACGAAATTTTCAAAGTTTTCTGAGCACAATTTGTTTCCATGACACTTGTTCTTCAACTGCTGTTGATGGGAACAAAGTTTCCAATTGTTATTCTCAGTACTTACATCGACATTCTTTACCAAAATGCATCTGCTATTTTTACTAATTCGAAGTAAGACTCTTGGTTTTACCTAAACGACCTCTCTCACGCTTTTATTTTCATATTAACCTCCTTAATAACTCGCTTCCTATTGGCCAATTTTCAATAATTAAATAATCGCGTCTGTTACAGAACGAAAAGATGGCGACAATCAATTTTGCGTAACCACTCCTAACCCCGTATTCACTTCAAAAATACTCATTACTAACATTTTAAAATATTTAGAGAAATATATTTCTTTTCATTGGTTAAGCACATCTATTTGATATAACTTATATTCTACTGCATTATTAAGAAGTTAAGAAGGTAGTGGTGAAGTGATTTAATCATATATCACTCAGTTACGCATCTTGGAGGTTTTTAATACATGGAAAAATTAAGATTTCTTACAGAAATGGTGGATCGTAAATTATATTTTTGATGATTCTATTTTAACCTAAATTCAGTAAAGAGGCTAACTTCCCTTTAAACTTTTTTCACCTTCAATGAAAAGGATAATTAATCCTTGGGATTATTTATTATTGCAAGTCAGCGTTTCTCGCTTTTAGTTGTCACTGTTGTTATTCGGTAATTGGAGAAAAATTCTATCCGTCTGAGTTGACAGACTAGCAAGTTGACTGTTGCATTACCAGACCTGAAAGTCGGCATCGGTCAAATTGGATCAATCATACAAAATTAAGTCAGCCTACTGCAGTAGTTTCTGTATGTTTACTTATTATTCAAGCCGATCGTGAGACATTACTGCACCCAGTGATCGGAAATGAGGTAGGAGGCGATTGCAGCCCGTCATCAATAACAGCTCTCAGTTATTGTTTATGAGAGATCTATGGAGAAATGCCCACTTCTTCAATTTATGTCTGAATGCACCAAGAAACCACATGAAATATACACTAAGATGCCGAGACCCAAAACGTGAAGTTTGTTGTGTTTGAATTTAAATCCTGCGTTATCAAGAATACTGTCCAAATTAAAATAATCTAGCAAAATAAATGTCGAGGCAACGACCTTCAATGCAAGCAGTATAATATATTTCATCATGAAATCATATGAGTGTACCCCGGCTGGTGACGCAGCGGGTATCTGGTTCAACTTCAAAGGCAAATGCCACGGGCTTGTTATCGACCATTGCACATTCAATTATCGCTAATAAAGGGTATACCAGAATTGGATTTCCTTATCAGAGAGATCCCAAGACTTTACGCTTTAAAGGGGTTTGCACTCTGATAAGTGATCTAGGACGAGTATGCATTCTTGTCATTTTTAGGATAGAAGAATTACGTCAGATTTGAATACTGTCTCAGTAAGGCAAAGTTTATGTCAGCGTTATCTTGATCCTTTCAAGAAATTGCAAATTGGATATTAAATGTTATCAAATATTCAGAACAACATTTTATTCTGAATTGTCTGATCTATTATTTTTACTTCCCATCACTCCTCATTTATTACTGACATAAACTTTATTTTAGAATAAACTCAAACTAGTTCTGATTATGACGCCTAATTTAGTTACATCCAGGTAGATCATTGGTTGCAAACAGGTTCCTGGTTTTTGGAAAAAGGCGACAAGGCAAATTTTAGTTGCATAACCAAAATGCTGGAGAGATTTGTGCCCTATTTTAATTACCGAAGCTCTGCTTTTAGCGTTCAAATTAAGAACTAGGCAATAATTTTGCCATTTTAAGTAGGCTCACCTCACCTTTGTTTCAATTGTCACAGAGTGAGTAATGAACTATTAAGTAGTTCATTTGTAGCCTACCTCGACACAACTTTTATTTCACAAAGGAAAAGTGGCAACAATAGTGTATTTCCTTTGCCTTGCGTCGCATTTGAAGAATTTTTAAAATATTAGTAGTAGTGTTTTATTTTAAATACTGTTAACAGCCTGGATCATATAGTGGTTGGGATTTATGACTATAGAGATGTTGTTCGTCACTGTCTGTTTTTTGATTGACAATGGCGTTTTTTAAGTAAACTGTATTCTATGATATGAATCACTCCTATCAGTTAATAGGGCATCGACTCTGTTTCCGATTGAAATGACCATGTTCTCAATAACCGTTGTATCTTTTGTAAAAGATAAATTCCCTTGGGAGTTCCAAGGTGACACAGTAGATCATTTGTCATAAGTAACATGTATCTACTTTAGTTAGATAATCCTGAAGTAGTCTCCAATGTTATTATGTGACTAGCTAAAACATTAAAGGGGTCATTATTGATAGTTGCTTGAAAAAATTTTTAGTTTAGTTTTAAAAGTGCGAGGCGTATTCGACAGTAAAAGTGCTATCTGCAGGGTAGATGACACGAGTTTGGAACTCATTGGTAAATATTTTATCAATTGAATGGTTCTATTTAAATGTTACTTGAATCTGAAATGCTAAAATTGAAATAATTTTTTTTATAATAAGCCTATTGATGAATTGCACATGTTGCTCAATTTCAATGTCATCCTTGTAGATCAATTGAAAATTTGGCAGCAGCCTCTTCTCAAGCATCGGGAAATTCAAATTTTGGCTCCACCAACCTCTCTGGAAGCATTTCAGGAAATCTTTCAGCCGTTGGAGTCACCAATTGGGACAAGCTTCCATCCTTCAACTCCAAAATCAAGTCCAAATCTTCTAACGCTCTCTTTGGGAGCTGGAAGTCAAGGGTAAGGTTAAATTTTCATTTTCAGATATAAACAAGTATGCTTCAGTTTGAAACTGTTCAATCTGAAACTATTTCAGATTATTGAGGCTGCTTTCACGCAGGTTAGTACGTAGATGCATGAAATTTAACTAAAGTAATGGCATTTCTGCACAGCGGTTCGATACGAATACGAGAATGAAGGTAGCGTCATTTCAAGGAAACACATTTTTTTTATTTATTTCAGCATTCGCAAAAGGGTCACTCTCTGCAGGATCGAAGTTTTGATCGTGTCGCCGAATGTTCTGTATGCGGTGGTCTCATATGGGGTCTTGCGCCCCAAGGGCTCACATGTCAAGGTAAATTATTGTTGTGACAACTAAAAAATCTATACATACCTCATATTTTTTATTAACCTTGCTACAGATATCATTCGTACATTTGTTCAACATAATTTAAATAGCCACGTCATTGTTCTTGAAATTAATACTACTTTTGAGCAAATAAATGAAGGCTTCCTTTTAAAATTTTAACCCGATACTTATAAACGGCATTCTTCAAGAAAACTCTACAGACACAATGACCTTCAGATAGTAATGTGCTTATGATAAATAAATTAACATTGTAATTAGATACCTTCATGTTTCTTGTTATCAGACATGCTTATCATGTTTGTATATGTCCTAAACAAATGATTCATTGTATACAAAATAAGAAGATTCTTAGTCATAATGAAAAAAACATTTAAAACTATTAAGCACTTTTTGAACGGTGCCTAAGTAATGGTTGCCTTGCCTCTTATTCTCTGGCTGATCAAATAAAAATTGCTAGTTCAAATAGCAATCCATTTAATTCGAGCTGATGGTGATCACGTGGTCCCTTTAAATAATTAATATATACCTCTTAATAAAGGCATTTTTCCAATAATTTTTCAAGCGTTTTTAACCTTGAATAAATTGAAATGAATAATCAAGTCATAGCCACTAGCATAACGTTCTAAAGCTTCAAAAAATTCTTAACGAACGAAAACTAAGGCTAGATTCCGTTATTACTTATTCAAAATAATATGGTCATAAAATTGATTCAAATATTTACTGAAATCAAATGCACATTATCTGACTATGCATACTTTTTAAAATTTTTTGGGAATATTTCTGAATAGAAATTCTAATTCCCGGATTGGTAAGAAAGTCGACGAGCCTTCTTTACTTGAACAAGCCTCAAGGTCAGCAGTTATTATGTTACAAAAATTATCTTCCGAAATGCAAATACTTAAAAGCTTGGCCATATCGAAATGGGGAATTCTTGAGCCATTGGCGCGTGTCGTTTTAGGTGCCACAAGGGCTGGCAAAATTCGCAATTTCATTGGTTATGCAATCGGGAAATTTTGGCTATGAAAACACTTTGTTCCGGCATGTTTTTTACTGGCGCTAATTCACGTTCCAAAACCATGTTTTAATAATTCATTGTGTCTCTTAGCAAAGTTCTAGGAGTTATTTATTTTATTGCTGAAAAAAAACGTTTTATTTTCCCCTAGATTCATCTTGAGAATGGCTAATTAACCACTAATTGGCACGAGGTAGAGTAATTACTTTTATGACCTGGATGTTATTACCATAATTTTGACAATGATATGAAATAAATTGGACTTCAGGTTGAGGAACCAGACCATATTATTAGCGTCGGCGGTGAAGTCATTTCTCATTGAGTCGACTTCCTCGTTGAAATATTGTCCTTTTCATATTCTAGCTTCTTTGAGTTTTGGACTTTAGAGTAATGGAGTAGACGTCAAGTCGAAAAGGGAATTTAGATTTCATTTTGCAGAAGTTGATTCTGTATACATCTAATTAGTAGTGGCGAGGTTTTCCTTGGGGGTTAATTTCATTATGGAGACTGATATTTTTAACTATCTGTGCCGGTAAAGCACGACTTATGCTGTCAGAATTCTTCAACACACTTTTTGTATATCGGTGTTTTGAGAAAATCTGTCAGATTTGGTCGTCTGTTATGTAACTTTCCTTTAGTCGTTTTTTCCGTTACAATTTTCTGGATTCTGTATACAGCGTTTAGGGAGAATTTAGTAGATACCAAAATCGCTCCATTTTAATGACTACCGCGAATCACCTTCAAGATTTATGTGGATTTCGACTATTTTCTTTTCTCGTTGCCATCAAGTAATTGAATGAAGAAAAGTTTTAACAGTTGAAAGAAGTATGGCTTTGTTCGAAAACCTCCCACACTTCTGGCAGAACAAACAAATATTTTTTTACCTAGTACCACAATATCATATATATATATATATATATATATATATATATATATATATTTATATTTATATTTATATATTTTACCGCCTTGTGCTATGTAATGACTCAAAGCTACATTTTCAAGATTTTTTGCCATTGGTTATTGCGTGAATTAGTATTCAAGTTATCACAAAACAGTTTAAAAATCATTAATTTGGATGGTTAGTCATGTCGTGTAAACGCATTTATTATTTTAATTACTAATTACTAGGGGATTGATGCGAACTTGCATAATCATCTTCGAAAAATAAGCAGAATTTTTCTTGAAGTTTACTATCTCCACTATTCTTATTTAGCTTGTGATATCAGCATCCACCATCGCTGCAAATCAGGTTTGAAAGAGGCCTGTACCAAGGATAGCAAGTCTTCAAATCTGAGTCGAAGCTCAGTCTCAAATGTATCCATGAGTGCTTCCTCTGGAACCCCTCCAAATATCACTTCCTTCTCTGTACCTCGTTCCTCCAGTACCATGAATTCTCCAGCCTCAAGTTCTCAATACCCCACTTTGCCTGAACAAACAAATTCTTCAGGTAGGCAAAGCATCATTGGTCGAAAAGATTATGATTTTCCGTGTTTATCGAAATGAACTTCCTTGAATTGGAACAAATTGGTAACATTAACAACTGGGTTATGCAAGTTTACTCAATGATAAATTCTGTAAAAGGCTATTTTGAGACACAATTAGATATGCTTCTAGTGGGTCTGTAAAAGTTATTGTAAAACATTTAGAATGTTCAGAAAATGGTGATGGTGGACGAACATCTTTGATATGGTCGTCACCATGAGTACCAGCAAAGGTGAAAATCATGGATTCGTCCAGTGAATGGAATGATGAACCATACTTTTAAACTAGTGTTAGCTGTGTGGAAATGTGCTTTATGATGATGCCCATGATGAGTTTTCAAATGCGCATCCTATTAACTGGCCTTGAATTATTCTCAATTTGATTCTCTTAAACAAAATTTATTTCCTTTTTTAACGAAGTATCATCTCAATTATGGATTTTTTAATTATCAAAATGAAGATATTTGACAAGTAATGTAATGATGCATTTTAACCGCAGTTATCAATATTTTTTCCAAAGAAATATTAGAACTCTTTTACCCGCTTGTTTTAATGCGCGCTTACGCAGACATAAAATGAATCTTTGTAACTTTGGAGATTTCCAGGTCGATATACAATCCCGAGATGTCGGAATTTCACACCCATAGTGCCTTGTAACTAAATTTAAATGTGATGGTTGAATTTGATTTCTCAGGATTGCTGTCCCAAATGAACAGGATATCACGCCGCTTCTCCCTTAAGAATGTGATTCAACGAAGAACTAGCCTTCAACGGCCAAATCTGCGTCTTAATGCAACACCGGCTATCCCAATTCCTATTTGGAGCGGCCATAATTATCGTGGTTTGCGTCCTTAAATTTGTCTGTTTTGTGGGCCTCATTTGTTGTGTCTGTCTTAGACGTCGTTTCGCTGTGTTATTAAGTAATCTAATTCAAATTTATTCATCCCAAAGTTTGAAATAGCAGAACACGATAGTCATTACAGAAAAATAGTAGTCTACTAAATCTGAGGTTGTGAAATCATGCCTCACATGTGATCTCTAATAGGGTGAATGTTCAACCACTCTGGTCAGTTCTGCTCTTCAGTCGAATACCTATAATGTGAATTTCTTATCTGATTGGCTTCAGGTTGTGTTACTGACGGTATTCATTGGTGGTTTTGAAATTTACGCAAGTGCACTACCTATATTTCACAATGAAGTGAAAATATGGTTATAAAACGGTTGAGGCTTAAAATCTCATCGATCAACTCGTCCACAGCTTAAGCACTGTCCTTATTTAATTTTAGTCTTTCAATCAATTTTAAAATTGATTTTAAATAGATTTTAAAATAGATAAATGCATCTTGCACTATGAATGGTTCTATAATTAAAAACCTCCGTTAATGGAATATTTCTAAAATTTTATGGATTCATTTTTAATTATAAGAGAAGGTTTCAAATTCTGTCAACCATCAAAATGATTTCAATAATGGCATGGATATTAATTTGAGCATGATAAGCCAAAACTGAAATCTAGTGCGATTTCACGGTACCAGTTGGTAGATTTCTATGCTTCTTCATCGCGACATTTTTGACAGGCCTGAACTTTTCTTGAAGGTTCTCGAATCTACAGTAGTTGGACTGTGCGAAAGCGGAGAAGCCACCATCGACCCAGCCTGAGTGCTATGCTCACGGCTGAAGCCTCTGTGGCTAACTCGCATAACAATGCCAAGCGCAATTCCGGTAACAATACAAATAATAATACACTCAAATTCCTATTCTCTACCATATTTCCGCACTTCCCGAATTGATCTGCTTTTGTGCTGTGTGATTTGTGCACTTAATATTGTAACTTTTCACTAGCTTTGAGAGAGGTTCTTTTTAGAACTCTATGAGAAGTACTTTGATCATCTCAAATGTATATACACCTGATCAGACCTCACTCATTGCCTATTTGAAGTCATTGTTCCGCCGGGAATTTTTCTGAGCCTTTCTCTTTTTTGTACTTTATCGATTTATCGGCAAATTAATTGTTTTTTAAAACACAAGAAAAAATTCACTTTTGATAGCATGATTTCAAGATAACCAGAAATAAAACCCATTTCAGTGGTTGATCAAAAACAAGAGAATAGCGCTTTGCAACATCCTGTTTTTTCGCGTTTTTGTACAACAATAGGTAGAAATTAAAAGATCCAAATTGGAACAAACTTAACAAAAAATCAACTTTCAAATGAACCAAGACTTAATACTTTGAGCAAAATTAATCGTCTGCGCTTGGACATTGAGTTCAAATAAAAATGAACGCAAAAAAAATAAATATTGAATTAAATAACAAATCGTATGAAGGATGCAAAAAATTAGTACGACCAAGAATATTTATTAATTTCAGAGTAAAATGTCCTACCTTAACATAGTGAGTGACAATTTTCAGTAGATATTTTCAAATCATTGGAAGGGTAAAGAGATTGATTATTCTTTTCCTCAGAGACAATCTAATTGGATAGATACTTCTTGGCACCTTGTAGATTATTCGCTCAACCGAGGGAAATAGGGCGTTATTTACTGCTCTTAGCCACAATAATCGGTATTTCCCATTCTTGAACTATAGGTAGTTAAGAGTATCAAAGATTTTCCATGTTTTCAAAAGTTATTGTCAAAATAATTTAAATAGTCTCTCTTTCCTACATTTTATGAAGATTTTCATACAGAATGGTTTATTGCATTGGGAATATCGATGGTTTGTCATATGACTTTTCTCGTTTCTTAATTGGACAGCAGGAGTATCAGGTTTCCTTTTCTGATGTTATTTGTTGTTTTGTGTGCACCCAAATTCTTGATTCGTTATTTGTAAAAATCCCTTCTCCTTCGTCACATGGAATAGATTTCTTCCTATGTTGCTTTTGTCTCACTTTAGTTGGAAACTTCACGAGTCCTTTAGAAGACACTGCAAGTAGTGGAGATCGTGGTGACAGCAGATCATTAGGTCTTACTGCTTCTACAGAAGATATCTTCCATTGTCGAAATAGCAGTTTCAACGAGTTAATGAGCGAAAGTGCATCTGGTTCACCTCTTCAAAATCCTTCCTTCTCTCCCAGTGAAGCGCCAATCTCCCCAATCATCAATGAAGAAGCCAAAGTCAAAAGAAGCAACTCCGGTTTTAGCCAAACACATCATCGCGGAGGCTCTCAAGTTGGTCTCACTTCTCCTGAACCCATTTCTCGTAAGTTATCCCTTGATACGATTAAGTCTTTAGATACTTTATTGTACTACAAGAGTCCTCTAAGCCGCTTTAGTAATAGGAAGTCTTAGTTTTCCATTCATGATTTATTTATCCCTTAGATATCTAGTAAGCAGCATATGCGAGTCGGCATCATATTATTAATGTTAAAAAGTTGAAACAAAATCGGGTTGATACAAATTTTTGTCTCCTGTAACCATCAATCAATCAAGAGCTGTGTGACCTGAATATTGGACTGTGAGGCAACCTGCGAATAGGGCTTTTTTAAATAGGAAAACAAACTTTATTGAGACATATTACATAGATAACCCAAATGAATAGGAAGAGGCATTAAGTCTATAAAGTTTAGAGACCATGAAACATAAAGATTATGACTGGTGAGAGCAGGCTTTCATAATGATTCGTACTACCTTCATATGTGAGTAACGCATTGATTCATCAAGCACACTTATAAAAGGTTTGGAGCTTATTTGTCCACATTCTGATTCATATAGGCCTGCGTATATTCTTCTTTGCATATACTTTTATGGGCTAGGGATTTATGCTCAGTTTATTTTAAATATTTTTATTATGAAAAAATAACCATTTACTTTCTTCCACCTATCTTCCTTCCCCTTTACTGCTCCTCTGTTGTTGCTTTTCTATTACGTTGTTTGGCCTTGTTTTACCTAAATGCGCAACTTATATCGCCTTTGTTTACAATAATCAACAACCCTCGATATTAATTCTGCTCTAACAATCAACATCTAAACTACGGGGTGTCTCATTGATTTTAATAGCTCTACAAGATTCCATGAAGCCTCCCTTCAAACTTATGCGTTCTTCTAGTCAAGTATTACATAAGAGTTATTCCTTCAGGAAGTTAATATTCTCCAGTACCCTTAATCTGTCCGGTAAACATTTTTTAAAACTTTTTATCGTGTTAATTAGTTTTGAGTTGCGAATTTAATTTCCATTGAAAAATCAAAACAGTACGTGGCTAGATAATCATTTATTCTGCTAAAGCATGAAAGATAGGTCATTTGAAAAGGTTTTAATGCAAAAACAATCGATATCAAGGTCATATCGAGAATGAGCTATACTCACTTGAGTAAGAATGGTTTGTGCATGATTAAGCAAGAAATATGCGCATCGGTTTGTGTTTTTTTCGTAATTCAGAGGTTGCCAGAGAGTTAATCAATTAGGTGTGCATATTTGTGACATGTGGTGTGGAAGTGTAATTCACTGCCATTAGGCGATTACAACATTTAGTTATTGCCAAAGCATTCCTGAACTGATTGCCTCCATCCATAAAGAAGCTGGTGTCAAACTTCTAATTTTGTTCCCATGGAATCCACCAAAACAAATAATATTTTTAACCACAACTGTTCAAAAAAAACACTTGTTGAAATACGATAGGCTTAAAGCACTTCTATTTGTGGTAAAGATTTAGTAGAAATACATGCACCTCTATGAATTCACGTCATTTAGGGGTTATTTTGATTTTTGCTTCTTTCCTCAATTTTGTTGCTTGATTACGCTTTTATGTTAAGTGATTTTCCTTCGTTAGAGATGAAAAAAATGTTGCCCCATTAATTTGTTATCAGAATAAACGTTCGCCAACAACATTATGCTTTATTGCTGAATTATTTAATGCATTTGGAAAATTGATTACTTAAGTTGCAAAATTTCAGACAAGCTGAAAGCAAAAAAAAACAATCTTATTGAGTTCAAACATGACCAATTCTCTCCGACTACCTGAATCTATATTTCTTAGTAAACTCTTTATTCCGTTATATATATATATATATATATATATATATATATATATATATATATATATATATATATATATATATATATATATATATATATATATAAAATAAATACGACTGCGTATGAAACGCATATAATTCTATTACAGCTAAGAAATAAAACTATTGAGGTTCACAGCTGGTAATCACATGAAAATATAATTTAATTTAATTTCTTTGATTGAATAATGCAGAAAAATCACTGAAAGCCAAGCTGTGTGAATTCGCTGTCAATGAGGAATTTAAATCAACTTATCATGTCCATCAACCTTAACTCGAAGGTTGGACTGTTTTTGTTTCAGTAGTAAAATAAAGATCTATATCCTTTGAAGTTTGCACCAATTTCCTTATTCTTCCATTTGCACAGAAAAGCACTAATCAAAGTGACTTCACAATTAACTTAAATGTAGTTGAAGGCCTTACTACCTATCACATTTTATTGAGATTATAAAGACGAATTTCTTTTCATAAAATTGCCAATCGTTAAAGCTAAACCAGAATGGAAGTAAAAAATGTTAAATTGTTAAAAAGCTATTATTCTTCCAAACATGTAGAATGCCAAAAAAAGATAGACACCAGAACATTTATTTATAGAGAGGGTAATACGAAGGCTGAAACTCTTTCTAAGTGATAGAGTAAAGCTCAAAAACCTATTGGTAGAAAACGAGCGGGGTGTAAATCGATAAATTCTTTCTCCATCAAGGGGCGCTCCTTATAAAAGGGAATAAAACTTCTAAAAGTCCAAATGCTCCCTAGATTTGCATGAAAATAAAATTAATCATTGAAAGGAAATATAATTATACGAAAATTTTACAACTGGCGTCAATTTATTAGTTCTTACCTCATCTGTTTGCCCCTGGTGGCTTTAACTCTCATTCTATACGTATGTCACTTCAAAATTGTATTGAGTTACTTCATTTCATTCACTCTCTAATAGACCTCAATTCATTTTTATGGAATGAACCCGTCTAATCTCAACTCTATTTATTCTTTCCGTATATATAAACCGGACTTCCAAACAATTAATCTCATCTTCCATGTTTTTGTCGGTTAATCTATTCAAGATCGAATAGTAATAATTTTTACTTTCATTTCATTCACATGTTACCAGGAGGTGGTGTCAGAATTTCGCACAAACAATAGAGTCCGTAATCTGTCAGACTGATCTTCTTGTTGTGTTACTCTTGCCTGCTTACACCTTATCAAACTCTAGTTGTCAGTGTTTGAGTGAATGAATACACCCACTACGGGTGTATTGGGAATACCTCTTTGGAAAATGCAATAAACTAGACCAAAGCTGATTATAGATCATTAGATGAGTTGATATTTAGCCATGCAACGAGAGTGGAAGGTATGCACAGAGGAATGATAACTAAAGTTTACCCAAACTGAAAGTCAATTTTTTTATTTTTATTGAAAACACTAGACACTACTTTTTTCCCTAATTAATTCTCTTCCAGCCTTATTGTGTCGGAGGTCATGACATTGACAATTGTTAAACTATCATAGTTGTAACCAATATCAGTAAAATTAATTCTCTGCACGACTGAGAAATGCAGGCTAGTGGTTGTTTAATATTCGTTTTATTAGTTGTCATATATCAATTGGAACTCAGGATTACTATGCTATTGTGCTCTATTTTAATCGTCCATTAGGGAATTATAATGTCAGTTTTATTAAGAGTGATCTTGTTTAAAATTTCTAACAAAGCTGACAATTTAATAGTAAGCGATGATTTCCATTGCGTTCCGAATTCACAATTGATCTATCGTTGCTAACATTATGTCACTTTGTTTGTCTGTTGGTGAAATCGCTTAACACAACGGGTGATTAAAACTTTCTGTTTTACTAATAATGAGTTCTAATATGATTGGTAGTTAGTTTCATAAAAAGGGTATTAATGTTTGTTTTTTCCAATTTATATAATCAGGCTACGTCCGCAATGCAAGGCAGAAAATGAACAACCATTCCTATAGTGGAACAGCAGCGGCACTTTCAAAACAGTAAGTCTACAACAATTTTGTTATTTTCTTCTCATTATGTTTACAGACTTATCAATATTACTTAAACAACGTTGCAAAGTGATCCAATATAGTTTGTAAATTACGATGTGTAAGACGTAGACGGTTAGTTTTAAAGTGTCGTGTAATGCTTCATTCAAGGTGGATTACTGTTTGCCCCCTTTGTCTTCAGAGACCGTCATAGATTAGATAATGTGTATGATGGCATTTAAGAAAAGTACAGAAGGTGAAATTGGACATAACTGTGGAGGCCCAATGGGTGATAAGTCAAGTTGTTCAAAGTTCTGAAAGTATTTGGAATCGTTCTAGGTAAGTCTGGGTGTGGTTTTATTCTAAACAGTGCCGATTGTTTAGCCCGCCATAAGACTTTTCAAGACCCTAGTTACTAAATATTTCCAAGTATGAAGAAATTGATTTCTTTGCAACACTCATTCTGTCTGTAACAATGCCCTAAGGAGTATTGCTAAGTAAAAAAATTAATTTTTCCACTTATACACTTTCATTGTATGCATATTGATGGTCATGGGCATCTTAATCACCAACCAAGAAAATCTTCAATTTCGTAGTTATCAATTTTAGGCGTTCTATCCACTAGACATTTGGCATTACTAGGGTTAAACAGAACTATATGCCGTATATCGCACTGTGAGCCAACACGAAACGTTTGAGAAAAGGCAGTAATATTCTTAAGGCGGAAAAATTGAACTCTCAATCAGACCGTTAACAACCAATTGTCGGGATATACTTTTAAATAAAGGGCTAATGATAAATATCATAAAGCCTGCCATTTGAAATAATAATAATAATACTTTTAAATAATTAAGCGGCGTTGTGATGGTTTCTTGTCGGGATTCTTTAGACTAAATTTTCACGAAATGATACCGCCTTTGTCTGTTTACTTTTAAAGAACTGTTAGAACGAATTCGGACCACTTTATAACTTATATATATATATATACTAATAATGGATAGTTCTTTTGAAAGTTAAAAAAAAGTAAATTTGCTCAAGGCTGATAAACTAAAATTCTATTTTCTCCTGTTTGTGCCTTACCACTTGTACTTTCGGTTGTATTCCGTATTTTCAAAACGATAAACCTGCAAATTTTCAGCGATAAAAAGAGTGACAATCCTAATGGTCTAGTTTAGAGATTTATGATCCATCCTTTTTTTAAAACGTGGTCTAATCAAATCTGTTTTTTTTTAAAACACTGTGATCTTGCCTGGTCTTCTATTTATTTAGATTCGACGAACTTGCTGACATAAATCGATTTTTAAATGAAGTTCAAAATTTTGACTTTTTATTTTAAACATAAACCCTATGGGATCGAAATTTTTCTTTGATAATATAAAGCTTCAAAATGGTCTTAGTTATAATTAATTCATGCGCCTGTTTAGAAATATTTCATGCAAATTGCCAAATTGGCAACATTTGATCCGCCTTAGAATACTTAAGATAATCGATTTTCTTATACTTCGATCAAGAATCGTAAAAGAATGTAGAAATCTATAGTTTGCAATAAATACTATTTACTATGCACAGTTAAAAGAATAAAATATTAAATTAATACAATTTTACCACTTGGAAATTGATCTTTTATTTATCTAGGCTGGATCTATTTTATCTTAATTCTCCTCCGTCTTTTATCAATTATAAGTTTACCTTAATAGGAGTACTCAATGAAACAAATGTGAACTCAAATGTACTCTAACATATGGATATTAAAAGAAATGAATAAAATCACCAAGTAGTTTGGTTTATTATAAATTAATTTTCCCGCCAAATCCATTCTTCCTTAATTTTCTTCTGAGCGATATAAGATTCGATCAAGAAAGTGCTCTGATTATTCAATAAATTACTTCACCAATCCCCTGATTTAGAGAGAAATATTTTTTTAAAATTCATTGGTAGGAAAAAATTATGTATTTATCAAATGCCATGCACGTTGATGGTTATCATTAGTCCTTTAGTTGACTTCAGGCTTCACAGAGGGGAAGGAACATCAAAGTGAAAATAAGTCGAGAGGAGGGGG